AACCGTTTTATCATTCTATTAATGTTATGTAAGTCTTTTATTTTGTTATATTGTGTTATTGTTTTTATGATGATTTTCGAAAATAAAACAAACAAAGCGAAACTTACTTTGTGCGAGCGCGGATACCATACAGTGCTTTTTGTTTGCGATTCCCAAATAATTGTAATATTCAGTCATCTTTCCAGCGAAAATTAACAGTGTCTCCGATTTTCTGTGATGTTGTATCCAATCTTTACTAAAAAAAAAAGAAAAAGTAAGAGGACATATATAATTTTTTTTTGTCCAAAAGATTTCGCAACGACTCAGCCAGCCGCTGAATAAGCGTGGGGGGGGGGGGGGGGGGGTAAAAGGACATATATATAATTTTTTTTTGGCCCCAAAATTTGAAAATTTGCCGAATCGACATTTCGTTCCGTTGGGGGGGGGGGGGTTATGGTCACCTTTTTAAGTCACCCATTGGAATAATTTTTGTTTACCCCCCCCCCCCCCCCCCCCCCCCCGTGTACGCGCCTGTGTGTACCTTTCCTTATGTTTCCCCATTTCTCATTTTCTATTATTTTACGTTATTGAATATACATATTTTTTTTTTTTCTTATTTTATCTTTCCTTATTTATTTTTAATTCTTCTTTTATATTTTCTGTCAATGTTTTGGGAAAATTAACACAAAATCAGCTATTCATTATGTAAGATGTAAAACTAGTTATTCTTTAGTCATACTAATTGTTTTCCTCTCATTTCCATTTTCTGTTCATGACTTTCAACCAGCCCACGACTCCTTTATTCATAGTGTATCATTATTTAGGACATTATATAACCCCGACTCATCCTCATCCCATGTCATTCATATTGGTTTACCTTACACCCATGATCCTTCTTCTTTCTTTCTGTATTAGTCCTTATGTTGGTTACTTTGCCCTTTAATATGTACATATGCAAATACATGTATGTTATAAAAGTTATACCCAGAGAATTCTGCTGTGCAGGCAAATAAATTAGAGGACTATTAGACTTCTTCGTGTCGACATCTTTCATTTTGAGTTTTTATTGAGCTACATAATCTTTATGTTCTTCATATAATTGATTTGGTGCTTTCACTGGCTGTTTCTTTGGTTGATTTCGATTCGTTTGTGATTGATTGTGGGGTGCCTCAACGTTTATTTTTAGTATGTGAAACTGATACCACTCCCTAGGCGTATCGAGGCCATCATGATCTTTCCTTATCCACTACTGTAGGCCAAATGCACATTGTCAGTCTCACTCTAAAACAAAGAAACTTTTGAACCTATTTTGTTTTTGTAACGCTAAATTGCACATGATAAATTCAAATGATTAATTGCTTTACAGGTAATGCAAAATATTCTTGTAAGCTCAACTACAAGAGCATGTAAAAAGAAAACCAAAATCTATTTAAACATAGAGAGAATCGATCAAAGTAGAAAAAAAATCTGATTTCTTTTTTAAAAATCAGAATTTTGTACAACCCTCAAATCCTTTGTTTCGCATTTCATTAATTTAGGCAAATTAGCCATTTTGATACGCATAAGGCCATTGTGATCTTTCCTGATTCACTACTGGAGGCCTGTACAACTAGTCGTGCAAAACAATACCCAATCAATACACAATATTTGAACCTCATAATATTTTGTTACGCAAAAATAACTAGCTTCTTCCTTTCAAAGAAAAATTAGTTAACTGCTAAATGCAAAACATCTTCGTGTTTCCCGCTACGCAAACAAGTTTTAAACGCACTCAAAAATACACCCAAAACCACACAAGAAAATCCCCCAAATCAAACGACACTTCCCCAAACCCTGTGTAGGACACATTTATTTTCATTTAAGCACATGATGGTCCAAGTGTATACAATCCGCATACATTTAATTTTATTACTTAAATATTACTTATATGGCCTATTATGGGATTCACCTTTTGAAATATCCAGATTTGGGAATTGGGCTACTAAGCCATTGCTAAGCCATTGCTTCTTTGGCGTCTGTTTTGGCCTATATAAAGAATGCAAAAGCTAACTAAATGATCAGCAGGCACGTAGCCACCGGGGGGGGGGGCACGTGCCCCAAAACGATTACATGTGCCCCCCCCCCCCCCAAAAAAAAAAAAAAAAAAAAAAAAAAATCAAACTCTGGCTACGTGCCTGATGATCAGTGAATACGTACATATTCAATGATCAAGCAGAAACTATGTCAACTGTCATCAAAGTTTGAACATTTTGTTTTAGGCCTAATATCATTAATTTCTGCAGTTATAAACAAATTGAAGGTAAATAGCATGATGCACATGCATAAACACTGTTTTTCTGTTTTACAAAATCAATTTTATGACTCCCAAATTTTGCAATTACAGTGTGTGCTTTATAGATCGAGGGCCTACAATTGAACCAAAACATGTTATTTTGCAGCGGTATAATCACAACAGATTACCTGAATTATCACATTACCTCAATCCAAAATTTTAGAGCTAGCACCAATGATTTAACACGGGCGCTATCATTATTTTAAATATAACTAGCGCGAAGGAGCGAGCCGTTCTACGCAAAATAAAATAAAAACAATGATTTGACCGTGTTATATCAGAAAACGGATGCACAAATTGGTCTGAAAACAGTACCTGTATTCTCATTCTTTAACAGCTCTGCAAATAGTATATTTTATGAACATAAAATCAATATAATGCGTAAATTCAAACTGCATTTCATTGCTTAATTTTACTTCCAAAATGAATCGGCGAGCCCGTGATCGGCGTGCCCTGCGTAAATCATGCACAACACTAATAGTGGTAGGCTAAAAACAATTCGATCGTCACTTTTGAGATTTTCAACACCCAGTTTGATAGTCCAAACGTTGAAATATCACTCTGAAAAATCTACGCAACATCGGTAGATAGTCACATATCAAAATTAAAACAAAAATACATAATGATGTTACATGAAACTAATCATATTAATCGGATTGTAACCAGCCTTTTATGACACTAACCGTTTTCAACGACGGCGACCGGCGAAAAGAGAACGAACGTGCATGGCGCGCGCACTGCTAGTATGCCGACTTCGAAAGACTTTCGACCAATCAAATTCCTCAATATCGCTTTCGTAGTTGTAATGAGTCTTCGATTCAGCCTGCCCTTCGTCTTTCGTAGTTTTGATCGCATATCAAAACATTAATAAGTTGTTTATTCAAGATGATGAGAAATCTACTCAAACTAATGAGTCTCGAGTTCAAAAATATTTGAATAGGCTTTCTATTTATTAAAAAAAAATGAATAGGCACATTGGAAGTCCACCCTGATTAAGTTGGTTTTAAAAACAAGCAGAAAATGAGAGAAACAGGTCATACATACATACATTCATATTGATATTTATATAGCGCTTTACATTAGTAAATAAAACAGAACAATTATTTTGCTCTCCAAATGGATACACTGTTACTTTGATGTGTAAAGCTGTGTAATGTAGGATAATCAAAAAAAGTTGTGAGCACTGACTTTTCTTCTTCTTTTTTGCCCCCGGAAATTTGAAAATCGCGTGGCGATATTTCGCTCGGTGGGGGGGGGGGGGGGGGGGGGGGGGGGTAGCAACAACAAAAAAGGTAAATTTCTGATAACAATTTTTTTTATTTTTATGGCTCGTCCTCCCCCCTGGATCCACGCCTGGGCTGCACGAAAGTTTGAATGTTTGAGCAAAACCTATACAAAAAAATAAGAAAGTTGTGACTTGTAAAGGTACGATCAGTTCAAATCTCAGTGACGTTTCTTTCAAGGTCCCCTCCCATTTGCCCATGTATACTAAACAAAACTTTAAAATATTTTCCCGTAAGAAATATTTGAAAATTGTTCCGTGGGCATATTTCCGGTTGAACGAGTCGACACCAATTAAATTGCATAATGATATGGGGTGCGTGCATTTCTATGATTTTATACAATTTATCTGAACTTACAACCCCGCCCCCCCCCCCCCAACTCAGTGTTATTTAGGGTACGCGTATGCTTGTTCCCTCTTTTTGAAAGCACCTCCTATCATGAGGACTGCCAACATTTCCGAATCCCCCTTTCGCGGGCTTTTCGCGGGCTTTTCCTGCCTTGGAGACCCCCTTAATCCGGAAAAATGCTCAATGTACCCCCCCCCCCCTAAATTCGGAATATTTTCTCAGGAGTCCAAAGAGATGAGAGAAAAAAAAGAAAAAACACCCCATTTAAAAAAAAAATCTCCGGGTGAAAAGTTAATACACCCCTTTGTTTACAATTCTCGGGCCGGACTTTGTCGCACGAAAAGTACCCCTTTACCGGACATTTTGGTAACACGCATGGGGTCCGTCCGTTCTCGGAGTGGGGGGGGGGGGCGGGCTTACAACATGTATTAATCACTGATGATTTAGTTGTATGCAATTCATTTTTGAAAATACTACAAAATATAAATTGCCAATTATCGGACATTTCACTACTTTGTATAAATTACATTTATAAGGGCAACATTAATGGGATAGTTGAGTTCTGTTGATTGATCGAAAAAGCCACGCTTCAGAGACGGCTAAAATATACATAAATATAACGGTTTATAATATTTGTGTACCACCACAACATAATGTTCGAACCCCCCCCCCCCTCAAATTTTGTTTTGTGTGTGTTTTGGAGAACCCCGCCCCCGGGCCCCATCAAGTTATTGATGAGGTTTAATGACCCACAAAAAGGGCACTAATGATCGACACGGTTTTGATCCTATAGAGCCTCACAGTTACGAGGCCAAATTTGCCACTGACTGTACACATGCAGCGGGGGCTAGGGAATTTGAGTTCGTTGGGCTATAGGGTAGGGAGCAGTTCCCACAAATAAATTATAAAAAAAAAAAGAAAATGCAATGAATTAACAATAATTCATTGAATTCCCCCCCCCCCCGAACACCGAACATCAATTATATCAATTTTCTTCTTTGAAAGTTTTCCGGATGTTCCGACATCATGACCGCTGATCACTGGCTGCAGATCGCTAAACAACTTCAAATTGGCAATTTCAGCTATTACGCAAGATTTGTCTACTGCTACAGTGCTATTCCCAAAACAAAACAGTTTATTTTGTAGACAAAGGCACATTCAAGATATTCAACGATGGTTTATGCATTGGTGCAAGGAGCAAGCAGAGGGATAGGATTGCAGTTTTGTCGAAATTTGCTGAATAAACGGCCTGCGACACTTGTGATTGCAACTTGTCGACAGCCGGACGGTGCAGCGGAGTTGCAAGCACTTCAGAAAGAGCATCCGAACAGTCTCCAGGTACCGTACGCGTAGTATATCTCCCGCCTGACCTCGGGGCGGCCTAGCTCTCAGTGCAGTGCAGGCCTTACCTCGATCTCGATTAGAATGATTTTATAATTATTTGTTGCACTCAGGACCGTCACTAGAAGGGGGAGGGGGTGTCCAGAGCCGTATCCCCCCTCATCTAGTATCAGCAGATCAGGATATCCAAATTGTCGGTAGAACTGCCCTGCTGTCAGGAAAAATGAGAACAAGATAAGAGGAGGGAAATAAAGAGATCGAGGGAAAGAAAAAGGAAAGGAAAAGAAGAAAAAAATCAGTTAAGAAAGGAAATCAAGAGAAAAAAAGAAAGAAAGAGAAAAAGAATTCTTTTGTTTCTTTATACAAATGTTTAATGTCAATTTTCTTATCTTTTTTTTGGAGTATTTTTCCTCAAAACGAAGTAACCGGGTATTATGGCCTATTGCATACGGCTGCGCTTGTTCAGAAACCTATCCAAAATTCGACCTGTAACTCTGGCGTGGAGATACCCTACTAAAACATACCCAAAATGAAGTAAATATTCATTAAATGTCAAAAAAAAGACCATGAGTTAAAAGTAGATATGTATATTAGTTATTGCCTGTTTCGTGTCAATTTTCTTATTATTTTTGGAGTATTTAAAAAAAAAACATTGATATTAGTATAGGGCAGTGCGCCTAGTATTAGGTCCATTCCCAGTATTCGGTCATTCAGCTGTTTCAATAGCTGTAACAATTTAAAAAATAATTAATGAGCCGCGAAACTTGCACAAATCAGGCAGCTGAACAACTTTTCTTAACTCTCAAAATTAAATCAGATATGGGCCTCGGAAAGATCTCCAACTTAGCTCGGAATTGGTCAGTGTCGCACAACTTTCTGCACTTCCGCGTTCTGTTAGCACATGCGCTAACATGCATAGCCATATGTAGAAGTCTATTGCGAAACAACTACGTGTGCTGTCGCAATGAATTTAGTATGTGTTTGAAGAGGAGCTCTTCTGTGTTCGCTCCATCGCAGCGAATTTGCAAATGACGCACTTGCCGATATGCAAGAGGTATTTATACGATACCCTTGCCATGCGGTAGCGCTCATCCAGTATTCGGTCAATGCATTGACAATCAGTGCTTTATCGCGCAATTGTGTGAAAATAGTGCGCAAATACGCTTCGCTCCTTGGCAACGGAGATACCACGCACAAATCGCGTGACCGAATTCTAATCGGCGCGACCGAATTCTGGGCAGAAAAATGCTCCGTCTTCTTTCAGAAATATTTTTCTTATCATTCTTTATTTTAAGTGACTATAAAATCCTGTTAGAGGGATAACTTTCTTTTCTTTTGATGGGTAGATTGCCAAATAAAAGAGGTAAGAATTCAAAATATTAGTGATTTCCCTTAAGTGACCGAATACTGGGCACTCTACACTTTTTCACAGGTTTCACGGCAAACCGCTGCACAATACAAGTGCATACCGATGGTGGGTTGCGGGCGGGCGCGCGCCTGTGTGAAGTTACCTACCGTTACAATGAGTTACAGTCAAAATTTGGAAATGATTCTAAACTAACGCCGAATTAACTGCCGTAATAGTCAGCAAAAATGAGATGAAATACTATACTGAAAAATCATTCAAGTCTATTTCATTTGGGGGTATTTTCCACCGAGACCACTTCTAAATTCGCCAAATCCCCCTCTCCTTGGAGCACCTAGGAGAGCATCAAATTCAAAAGTCAAATGATGTTTAAAACTCCTCCAAGCAGTCAGATTTTTCTTTTTAGGAATTAAAAGATGATGAAACTATGTTGTTTCCACATTTTCTTCAGTTGAATTTCCATCATCTTGATGAGAATTTTGACTGGGACGTCACTCCTTTGAAATGCTAGCAGGCATTTTTTGTAGGCAGGCCAAGCCATAGAGATTTAACATGTGCACAGTTATATAAATATATAGGTAATCTTGCGCATGTGCTAGTAGGTTTTGGATGAAGATAAATACATATGCTACCCTGCTAAATAATGATCTTTAGCCGTACGTAGGACATGAAAATATCAGAAGTAAGGATAAAAGCTAGAATCACACTATTTTTGTTTTCTTCTCTTAAATCTTTAACTATACACAGATCATGCAGTTAGATGTGTCAAACGAGGAGCAGATTGCATCAACAGCCCAGCAAGTTAAACAGCGTCTCCATGGCAACGAGAGTTCTAGCAAAGGACTGGACCTACTTATCAATTGTGCAGGGATGTTACATCCATCAGGGAGAGGAGAGACCAGTCTTAGAGCTGTATCACATGAGGTATTATATGACTTCATCAACATTAGCTATAGTATACAAAAAAAAGGAAAACGTCATATCTGGCACACATTGCAGCATTAGTATACTTTTTGTGTATTAAAAACTGTTCAGACATCCTCTATTGATTCTCAACATTTCAAACCCCACTCTACAAAACTGAGTTCCCTAAAATTCTATACGGGTACTTTCATGATGATTGATGACACCTACATGTAAATAGCAGTAAAATATACAATCTTTTAAACTTACCGATGTAAGAAAAAATTCTTTGAAAGGTTAAATCTTGATTCTACTTTCAAACTTGCTGATCAGCCCCTTCGTATTCATTGTTCACATTTTTGTTGTCGGCGTGCTGGTGCTGGAATGCGCTGAATCTTGTATAGAAACTCAGTGCTCAGACTCCCTAAAAAGCAGTCTGTTTTGACCGATTGATATTTTTTACCATGAATAAATTAATACGATACAATACAAATTCGAGCTTCAAATTCACATTTGTGTACACAGGGTCTGATGACAACATTTGCCACCAATGCATTGGGTCCTCTGCTGATGGCCAAGTACTTTGGGGAGCATCTGACCAAGGGGAGCGGAGAGTTTGGACAGTCGCCATCGGAAGGTCACTCTGGCACACTGGTCAACATGTCTGCCAGAGTTGGTTCAATATCAGATAATGGTTAGGGAGTGTCCTCATACCTTCAATTGTTGTTGTTGTTGAAGGGATAAGTTCTAGTGATGAAGGGAAGGAATATAAACCCAGAATCTAATGGAATCTACTTGTACTTATATCTGCGAATCATTTTGAATTTTAAACTATTTTGCCGATTGTTTAAAAAACAAATACTGAATAAATAAGTGAATGTCTAGCTAAAGTGTAAATAGATGAATAATTCAACAATTAAATGAATGAATAAGTAAATAGATGAATGAAATAATAAACAAGAATGTATGAATGAATAAATAAATGAATAAATAAATGAATAAAGAAACAAGTGATTAAAATCATGAACAAATGATGCATGTTACAAACAATATCTGTTGATAGAGAAAAAGATGGAGACCCTTAGTTTGCTAGAACTACAGTACAAACTACATGTTACAGAAAATTTCAGTTTATTATGCCTCCGTTACGAAGTAGCCGGAGGCATTATGTTTTCGGGTTGTCCGTCCGTCCGTACGTCCGTACGTCCCGTTCTCGTGATCGCGTTATCTGAAGAACCAATTGATGGATTCCTGCCAAACTTTGGTCATGTATGTATCTTGCAGAGCCGATGAACTGATTAGATTTTGGGGTCACAAGGTCAAAGGTCAAAGGTCACAGGGCTCATTATGTATGCAAAAACGGCTCATGATCGCGTTATCTGAAGAACCGATTGATGGATTCCTGCCAAACTTTAGTCATGTATTTATCTTGCAAAGCCGATGAACTGATTAGATTTTGGGGTCACGAGGTCAAAGGTCAAAGGTCACAGGGCTCATTATGTATGCATAAACGGCTCGTGATCGCGTTATCTGAAGAACAGATTGATGGATTCCTGCCAAACTTTGGTCATGTATTTATCTTGCAGAGCCAATGAACTGATTAGAGTTTGGGGTCACGAGGTCAAAGGTCAAAGGTCACAGGGCTCATTATATATGCAAAAACAGCTCGTGATCACGTTATCTCAAGAACAGATTGATGGATTCCTGCCAAACTTTGGTCATGTATGTTACTTGCAGAGCCGATGAACTGATTAGATTTTGGGGTCATGAGGTCAAAGGTCACGCGGCTCATTATGTATGCAAAAATGGCTTGTGATCGCATTATCATTAGAACAGATTGATGGATTCCTGCCAAACTTAGATCATGTATGTATCTTGCAGAGCCAATGAACTGAGTAGATTCTTGGGTCATGAGGTCAAAGGTCATGGCTCATTATGTATGCAAAAATAGCTTGTAATCACGATATTTTGAGAACCTGTTAATGGATTACAAATGAACTTGAATTTGAAAAATTTCTTCTGTTTTGGTTGGTAAAATTGCTCTATGACGGAGGCATCATTTTCGACTGTGCGCAGTCGAATTCCATCTAGTTTTCATTACCTCTTTTGATTAGGGTATGGTGGATGGTACAGCTACCGCATGTCAAAGAGCGCCCTCAACATGGCAACCAAGAACCTGAGCATCGAGTTCTCCCGGGGGAGACGGAAGGTGGTATGCATCAGCCTTCACCCGGGGACGGTGAACACCGACCTCTCACGACCTTACCACAAGAATGTCGCAGAGGACAAGCTCTTCACACCCGAGTATTCGGTCGAGAGGATGATGGAGGTGATAGAGAATCTGAACGTTGAAGATTCAGGGAAGTTCTTGGACTTTGCGGGCAAGGAGATCCCCTTCTGACGGATGACGAAGCAGTGTTTCTTTAAAAAGAAAAATTTACTCTATATATGCCCAGGATCGAAACCTGAGACTGCCACATTGTATTTACACTAGACATGGGACAGAAGCTGCCTCTTGCAATCCAGCGTGTGTTTCGTTTGTAGACCAAAGCAGAAAAAGAGTTCAAGGTATCCTTGTGTAATTTTCTGTGGGCATAGCCTGTTCTGATTAATTGAAGTTTTTTCAAAAGTCAGATAAAGAAACGTACAATACATAATCATCGATAGCAAAAGGAGCATACAGATTACATGAAGTAACGTTGTATGAAGAAACTACTGTTGAAGAGGACAATTGGCATTATAGCTGGGCAATCATCGGTGCATGCTCAAGATGAGTTCCGTCCAGTTATATTATTTTTGTATAATACAATGTTGAGACTAGCATGGGACCCTGATTCTTTTATCGTTTTTTGTTTATTTGGAACGTTTCTGAATTGTGTTTCGCCATACATCCTTCAGACTACAAAAAAATTAACTACCTGTTGTCTGAACACATGGTTAGTTGAACTGGATGGGATAGAATTTCCATTGAATGGGTGTATAATCTCACATGCATGCAAAGCATCAATTTAGAGCATAACCTCACTTAAAGGAAGAAAATCTGGACTTGGCCCTCTACAGAGTATGGAAATGAAGGCTTGTGTGAGCCAGTCCCTTGCACATTTTTGGAGACAAGATGTGATGTTATGACATCCAGCCATGCAATTGATGACAGATTATGTATATTTCATTTATACGGTGAAGGAAAGGGTGGTTTATCATATGGTATACATGTAGAGGTGTTGTGGTCAAGTCTCTGGACAGTGAAGCACAAGGTATGGGGTTTGAATTCCTGGCGCAGCACTAATGTCTTTTTGCAAGAAATTAATCTACATTTGCCACACTCGACCCAGGTGAGGTAGATAGGTACCTGGCAGGAATAAGTTCCTTAAAAATGCTCAAGCTCTGTAATGGGAACTGTACTAAAGCCAGGGTAATAATGATTAATGCTTTAGGAGACTTCACTGTCGTCTATTATTATTAATATACATGTACATTCAGGTAATGAACATAGTCAAAAGTAATATGTCTACCACTAGAGGAGGAACACTCACAGCCAGTGTTGCCTCCCTCCCCTCTGTAGTTCTTGCCCGCATTGTGACCCTCCCCCTATATTTAAGAATCCTGGTACTGCCACTGTTCAGGACATACATGTACATGTAAAGTCAAACCTGCTGTAGGGTCTGCTGGTATAGACTGATCACCTGTAAAGAAAGACCACCTGTCTCTCAAGTATAAATTTGTGTCACCTTTGAACAGTCACTGGAACCTGATATAAATTTCCCTCTTCTATAAAGACCACCTTTCTTGTTTCTCTTGAGCGGTGAGAAGTCTTTATATAGTTTCACTTTATAAGGTAATGGTAATACAAACAAAAAGTGTCAAGGCAAAATGTGCAATAATTGTGCCATATCAGTATTTGGAGCAGTTAGTAAATCATGTCTATCCGATGTTAGATGAAGAAACCACTATCATTTGTTGTATTATTGGAATCTTCTCATGTTTATTCCAACAGAGAAAGATCACGAAGAATCAATGTGTTTTGTAGAAGTTAATGTAAAATTGTGATTGAGAAATCTTTCAAGAACGATTCAAAGCAGATACAAATTTTGTTCAACAAACCAAAATAATAAAGTGATCAAGTAATTTTTTCAGCCTGGAAGAAAAAAATTATTTATTCTATGAATCTTGCAAGGCTTTGTTTAGAGTACTAGTGTTAATAATCATGATAACAAAATTTGTGTTGGTGAAAACGACTTTCAGAGTAAATAAATGTAGGCTAAATGTAGGCTATTCTAATACCTTTACCTTCAGTAATGTGGACATGTGTGTGATTTAACTTCTTCATGTTATACTTAGTTTTCTTGAAAAGGAATGTATTTTTTGCATTGTAAATATAATCATATCTTCCAGGTATACATTAATAATTAAAGATGTTATTGTAAAATTATGTTATGTTTACCAATGTTTTGTATTCATTATTACAATAAGGATTTCAATAGATTTAATGGTTGACATTAAAGTGTAAGGAGTGTAATCATTTTTTTCTGAATGTCTTGTCGACACAGGATTGGATGCCTTCCTTTTGAAGCAAATGTAATAGAATAATTTTCTTTTGACTTGCACAGACATGTGCCCTCTGCCCCCCTCCCTCCCAAATGTTCATTGGCTAGTTATAAATGGTACCACCTTGCTTTAATAGAAACTAGTCTTTCGAAAGTTCTCTCACAACATTTTCTCACACCCTCAAATTTTGGTTGGTATTGCTTAAATATCTGTGATGCTTTTGTGAGCAAGTACATAACACAATTACCTTAGCTTCCTTTACTCAACACTTTACCTTTCAAATATAAATCTACAGCAAATCAAATCACAGAAAGAAAAGTCACAACAGACGAGGCTCTTTGAAGTATAATTGTTTCAAAGATTTAATTGAAACATGGATGGCAGAGATCAGAGTTTAGAAAACATAAACCGGTCACGGTCAACAACTTGTTTTCAGATGTGATAGAAACTACTTGACATAATGCAATGATAAATAGGAGGCTGTACTTTGGGAGGGAAAATAGTAGTTTTAAGAACATTTTGAACACTATTTTAAATCGTGTACAGAAGATAATAATACAAAGAGTGGTGCGGATGAAAACTAAAATTGTATCAAAATATGTGAAAAGCCTAGGGGCAGTATTGGGAATGAACATAATACCAAATATCAGGCTCAAAATATTTCAATAAACAATAAATAAGGAATAAAGAACTGTGTACTTTCAACAAAGTAAAAACAACAAAAGCAATGAGAGACTAGTCATTGCATACCTGAATTTGATTGAGAGACTAGGCTTAAATACTACATGAAATTTACATGTATTTGGGGACATCCCCTACCATTCTTATATAAAAATTAAAAAACACAGAATATTCAAACTATCCTACATACGCAATTGACATAGTGAAGGAAAACAATTTATAAAATGAACATTCAGAGTTAAAATCTACTCCCATTTCCTTTTAAAATAAATTGTATTGCTTTATGATTTGATTCATTCTTCCCATTTCCATAAATTATGCTATTAACAATAAATCAGATATCTTGATTAGATGGTTCCATTAAAAGAAAAGGAATTTTTAAAAATGTCCTAAAAAATGGAGACAAATTCATGGTAATTACATTGGAAGGGATAATCATATAAACACAAAGAAAGAGGACAAAAACTTTGCCCATTTTGCTTCTTTTTTTCTTCATTGAGGATGAGAAAGATGTGTCAACAATCAATCTATTCCTTTGTGATATCATGAACTACATTTCCTGCCTCACTTCAAATGCTAAGGTTGCGAAGCCCCTTATTATTGCTACATGTTGCTAGCAAATTAAATATAGTACATCTCTTTCATACATATCATACAACAAAGGTAATAGAACGATAAAAAAAGATTCATTCTCCGACTTTTAGCCATAAAAGCCTGCCATTTCTTGTTATGTACATTCTGGAATAATAACAATTCGCTTCTGAAATAAAGCAAACAATTCTCTGGTGAAACAAGACTGAATACTCATAGGGTGTTTGAGGGAAACGGGAGAAAATGGAAGAACATAGAAGGATTTGTACTCTATCTATAACCCCAATGAGGGGGTTCAAGCTTGGTCTAAAAGTGAGTTAAACAACCCTTTTGCGACGATCATTCATTTTGTAGTTTGGATCAATAACTTTTGATTCAGAGCCTAAACAATTATGCCTTGAGTAGAAATGGCAAAGATTTCTGCACAAAAAATTTCAAAAAGTAAAATCAGCTTTGCTTTAAAATCCTTAAATGGGGAACATGTTGAAAGATTCAAAATCATTGTTTTTCTATCAAAATTTGCAGGTTTTTCAACTTTTCTACGTTTTCCCACGTGTGTATTGTTGTCAGAGATATCACATGTCATTTGAACAATGTAGCAATAAAAAAAAAGTACCACTGTTGCCAATTTGAAGAACAATATGCGATCAATTTGGCCCTATATGTAAATCTTGTTCTGAAAGTGTTTTTTTAAGGAAGTTAGACTGAGATCTTTGTTATATATTTGTTCACCGTATCTTAAGTCGTAAAACCAGGTGCAACAGAAAGAGAAGAATACGTGCCCATGTGCCTTGCACATGAAATAAACTTTGAATACATATATACAAGAATATATAACATAAGAGGATATATGTACATGTCTTGTAAATATTTATGAAATACATGTATATAAAATACCCATAAAGGAAAAAGCAAGGGAGTTAGAAGCAAGAGGGGGGGGGGGAGTTAATGAGAGAAAGAAACAGAGGACGAGCGTGAAAGAGAGGGGAGGAAGAAAAGAGGAGAGAGAGGATAAGAAGCGAGAGGAAGAGAGGTGCAAAGAAAGAAACATAAATAAAGTATGGCATATGTGTACAAGGAGAAGGAGAAAGAGGAACAAGGAAATATAACATAAATGTCTTTACACTGAATAAGGAAAAGAGAATAAAGGACAGAAATTAAATCTTTTTCTTTTAAATGGTAAGAAAAGATAAAAACAGTATCAATATGAATAGCAACTAAAAGGAAGCTGTACACTTTATCCTGCATTCCAGCACATCTTAGTATCGCCAAGTGTGTTCATTTTCAAAATATACCAATCACAATATCCCATCATTTCCATCATTCAACAGCAAATTGGCCATTTCATTGCTGATGAAAATATAAAAAAAGAACATCTTGTTCACCTACATGAGCACCATTATTATATATCTTTAAAAAAAATAATACCCTTTTTCTATATCCATCAAACCATCTTATCACGCTCATCAACAAAATAAATTGACACTACATATATAGTAATTTACATAGCCCTTTCTGAGTCTCAGCAAATTATGGTCTTTTTAACCAGTCCACATATTTGAAGTAACATGGCTAAAAATGCAAAACATATATACCGGTAGATACTATTTACTGAGTTCCATTTCTGAATGCCACATGCTACCAAATACTTGACCATCTAAACTGTGATGATGAGGTATGAAACAATGATACATTTAACTACTTATTGATAAAAAATAAAAACTTATCATATCATAGGTACAGAAGATCATTGTTAAAATTATATCATTTTCAAATGGTTCTTTAATATTACAGGTAGGGTATTTTACAGACATTGCTTCCATTGTTGTAATTAGTTTTCAATAGCGCCATCTTTCGGTAAAGGCATACATAGAGTGATTTCCGGTTCCTGTACCCAAGCATTATCATGGCACGTCAGGCAGTTGTTGATGCATGGCTGTATACAAATTTGGACATAAATCTGAAGTGATGTCAGTAGAATACCCTGCCTGTTTAGAATTGTCCATCAAATTTTACAATCTTGATTTCAAGATGAAGCTCACAAAACATCATGTTAACGCCATTAAGCAGTAATCATCAATTCTCTTCCGTTACTATTGAGACTAGCGTCATTATAAATGTATGGCATTATGATTTCAGAGTGCACATTATAGAGTGCACATAGTATAATTTCACAATTGTTATCAGCCTACCCCAAAAAAAATTGAGTTGTCGTGGAAGACTAATATTAGATACCCATATGATTTGCATCACCAATAAACTACTATGGAAAAATATGTCAGTGCAATATAAACTCTAACTTTATAAAAATCTGTGTTTTGAAAATATTTTGAGTTATACTGAACTAGAGTTTGCATACATATGATACTTTATACATAAAGTTCTTGCAGTTGTTTGTTTAGTTAAATGAGTTGCATTTGTAAATCTTTACTATGAACTTCATGAAGACTTGTTACCCGAAACTTGCATAAATCTATTTCATTTTGAAATTTTGAAACTGAGATTCCAACATTTCAGATATCGCTAGTAATAATGAGTACACATATGTGAGAATTTTTTTCCCAATAATAGTTATGCCTGCATCACTAGGTATTGTATTTAACTGTATTTTTAACATACTTAATTTCAGTAGCTGTCATGTCATTATGCACAGCTTGAGCATAAAACAAATATCTCAAAATATGCATCTTAAATGAGGCTGTACATTATACATGTATGTGGCAGTGACTTTCTTGAAGGCTAAATCAACCGTAATGTGGTCCCAAAATCATGACCTCATTCTTGGCAGTGTACAAAAAAAATCCACAATTTTATTTTTTAGAAGAAAATATCCAAACCAGTAAACCTGTGCTATCGAAGCAGGTCAGTCGACTTGCCATGGGTAGATCCACAGTCAAACCGCTCCAGCAACTACCTGCCTCCAAACATCACCTTTTCCCCCACTACTTTGGCCCACTAAAGGAACCTGCTTTTAAAGGGAAATCCAACGTTAGTAGACAACTACCTCTAAAAGAAAGCAGACTGATAAAATTTTGAATTAAATGTGACGTGAGATAAGAAAGTTATGAATTTTAAAAGTTGTAATCTCTATACATATGGGCTCTTCAAATTGGCTGTATCCAAAAAGTCATCGTGACGAAGTGCTACACCACTTTCCATTTGCTCAAACACAAAAAATACTAGAATTTCAATTGTTCTAAAAGTGTACGGCTCAGGAGGGTCTATAATTCTCTTTAGAGGACTATACTTTATGCTATCCAAAGTATATTTTGAGTAGTGCCTCAAGGGAGAGGGCACCTACAAGAAGATTAAATGGTAATTTTGTATGCAGCGAAGGGACAAGTTATCCACATCCTATGCCACAATCCACAGATTGAACTGCCAATTTGAGATTCGCATAGACTTAGTATTTCTATATTTCAAACATTCATAACCTTCTTATTTCAAACTTTCGCAATTCTGTTTTATCTTATTTTTCTGATATCATACATTAGACATTTCAACAAGCATCAATATTTTTCTACAGGCATGTCTTGGTAACCTCATTGAATGACGACTCTCTATGAAATGATCCCTGTAGAGAAAATTAAGTTCATAAACATGTGACCTTTGAACAGTCAACAAATCATCTAGTTGGAGGCATGTACTGGGTATAGGTCAATGACAGTCTACATAGTGACCCCTGCCAAGACTGAAAGAGTTTATCATCAACACTGTATGACTTCTTCATTGTCTAATTCTTTGGTCAGTTGCTGGACCTCTTGTTCCAGCTTCTTATTCTTCTGACACATCTGCACATAGTTGAGCTGGAGCTGCTTCTGGTAGGCGATGACCCGGTGCTTCTCCTCCTGCCAGATGCCATGCTCCTGGCGAAACTCTGCAGTTTGCTTCTCCTTGTCTTCATTCAAACACGATATCTCCTGCTTGAGGTTAGTGACCTCTTTCTGGAGTTGACCTATGACCTTGGGGTCGGTACGCTCAAACTTTGGTTTGTCCGGCACCGAGGGCACCATGGATAGCTTTGCAAGGTTCAGATGGCTCTCGGAGAGTGTCCTCACCCCAACAGCCACCCGACTTAGTTTGTCCTTGAGACGGGCGTTCTCTTCCTTCAGGGACTTGACGTGCGATTCAAGCTGCTGTTTGGCTGCTCGTGTCCCAGACAGTTCCCGGTCCAAGGAGCCTGACCTTCGTCCATTCTCAGGGATTTGTCTATGCACCCTGTCGAGTTTCACTTTCAAGGCGGTCGTTTCTGCATCACGCTCACCAAGTTTTTCCCTGATGTAGGTGATCTCTGCATGTCGTTGGTGGAGTTTCTCCTGGCAGGCTTTCAGCTCCGCTTCCTTCTTTTGAAGGATAGAGTTCGAGAGTGCCGGACCGGTGTTACGCTCCTGTGTCTGCAGCATCAATACTTGTTGCCTCGCTTGTTTGAGCTCCTGCTCTCGCTTCGCTAACTTTGCCTGCAATTCTAATCTATCCTGCTCGAGGCGTCTCTGGGCAGGGTTAGTCTTTTGATCAACACCGTTACGCTCACTCCCCTTCCCGCGCTCTCGTAACCTCCCCTGAAGTCTCTTTATGTCTGCATCTTTCTCTGAGATTCTCTTCTGCAGCCGAGTAGACTCCATGTCTTTCTCGGTCTGCAGCTGCTGCAATTTTTCCACTGTCCTACCAAGCTCTAGCTGAATCACATCCACTTTTTTAGAATTGGGAGCACTCCCCTCCTTGCTTACTTTTGTTTTTTCAACTTTCTCTTCCTTCTCTTTGAGCGCAGAGGTCAACCTCTCATTGACCTCTTTCAAATACGCCACCTCGCATCTCTCCTGGGCAAGTTCCTGCTCTCTAGTTTTGACAAGCGCCCCCAACCTATCAATCTCATCTCCCTGATTCTTCACCCTCAGCATCAAGCTGTCTCTTTGGTCCATTGTTTTCTTGACATCAGCCTTCACCTGTGACAACTCTGCTTCCTTCTTACTCAACAACTGCTGCTGGCTACCATTGGTCCTCTTTGTCACTTGCAACCTTGTCTTATCCAACTCGATTTGCAATCTCTTCACGTTCTCCTTCTCGTATTGGAGTTCTTCTTTGGAGCGCTTCACACCTTCCTCGAGACGCTTGATCTCGTATCGTTTGTTGGTGATTTCTTGCTGGCTTTCAGCTAATACTGACTGTTGTTCGTCCACCTTCTTGCCATTGTCTTTGAGTCTTGATAGCTCCTTCTGCAGGCCTTCAAGTCGCTGCTTCACCTGTTTCCTGTCCTGCTCTAGCCGGTAAATCTGTAGAGTATATCAAATAGAATAAGAAAATTAATATTTTCGTTTCATCACTCAAAATGAATCTAGAATATGTCATTAAATCAGAACATGTTGCAGTCCAACAATAATAAGAAGTGATATTCATTCAAAATTCAAATAAGTCATTACATGCCTAGCAGAAGGACATTAGCCTGAGTATTCATAATAGTTCTGAAATGTTTAATGAATTTCATAACATATTGGGAATTTTAAAGCAAAATAAGAAGTAACATTTAGTGCCTTAAAAGATCATTTTGCCTTCAATTTGTTAATATACAGTGTATGTATATCTACTTGATTGATGAATAAAAGGAATAGTACCCTTAAAGTCAATAAAATACATGTATAATTACCTGACACCATCATTCAAATACTATATCATTTTAAAACACTCTGACATTTTCAATTAAGTCCTCAGGCATTTCAGGTCATAAGCGATATGACACTACAGGTCTCTAACCTCTGTGACCGTAATTAGAGCATTAATGCTATTTCCTGCCCATGTCCCAACCTTATGCAATTCTCTATCCACCTATCCTTGCTTCCTTACAGGAGCAGGAAGCTATTACAGCTAATTATGAGCCCACGTGTCACCTCACAAGCTCTGAGAAAGCATGCAATGTATGAGGTGATTAATGAATTGTCATCATGAAAAGCGGTTAAACCATTGCCTGTGGGGAGTCGGTGGTTAGTGTATGAAGCATAGGGGAATACAGGAGTTTGGTAGTCAACAGGTTAATATGTGAGCACTATCTGGGAGAACACTGCGTATGAAACGTTAATACATTTGGGTTTGATATGAAGGGAGTACACCGGTATATATATTTTTAGTCTAACCTTTCTTTATAACATTTTTTTTTAAAGTATCATCTTGAAATGGAGCTGAAAGATATTTTTTAGCCTTATTTTTTGACAGAAAACTTGTCAACAAAGTCAACAATCCCTTGTATTTAAAACGTTAGAAAATGCCTTTCAATGGGTCAGATACATGTAGAATCTTCTAGGTTTATGATAACAAAAGGTAATTCAGGGCTATACAAATTCGAATTTGATCAAAAGTTAGAATTTCATGAGAAAAGCTTCCAATACCAGTGATTTAATAGACCATATTCATGACTTATTTCACAATTCATGAACCATTTTTTCAACTTCAAGAAGCGAGACAGTCCGTTCTTTTAAATGAAAGATATTAGATACCATCAAGACACAAAAATGTTGGGCTATTTAGAATACCTATAGTTATACCCGAAAAGAAGCACCAAAAAGAGTTCATCTATGGGGCAGGTCCAAGCTATTTGCTTTGTGACGTACGGGACATTCAGAGACTTTAAACTAGAAATAACAATGGATGACATTATTTATATGGCTATCTTTTGGTATGAGTCTGTGGCTATTATGGGCTAGTTCATTTGTGGAAAGCTTTAGTTCTGACCAATTCATAAATTAATTTTTAATGTAATTAATGTGCTGCGTGACGTACGGGACCAGAGAATTTCTGACTTTTTCAAAAATAAGTTCATCATAAAAGTTCTCTGAATTTAATAAGTTATGAGATTTATGGTAATGATATCTTAATTCATTATGGAATCAAGCATTAATCACAACTATTACCATATTTTTCTGACCTTTCGTTGTTATGTAATATACCAAAACATAAATGTGTGTATGTGACGTACGGGACACGTGACGTACGGGGCAACTTTTCCCTATGGGAAAATGCATTGAAATGAAGAATTTTCGTCAAAATTTGTTAAATGTGAACAATTTTAACTTAAATCAGTGACATTTAGAATGTTTTAGAACCCAATTAGATCCTCTGACCATCACTTAATATCCTCTGTGTTAATTTATGGGGTAAATCAATACAAATATTAATTTAACAAATAAAACAAATTGATTTAATATATTCATACACACTATATTACCTTTTTTATTCCATTTACCCATTTATCATGTGCAGTCATGCTTCTTTTCTCATTTCTTTTATCCATTTCATTTAACATTGCAAAATGTTTTTAAATAATAATTAATGAAGAAGATGAACTTGAACTTGAAACTTTTATTTAAACTTGTTTGAAACGCAGGGGCACACTCGGCACATCATATTTTGTCAAAGAACATTTCTTATGCTCTGAAATGTTTGTGAACAAAGATACATTAAAAATATGAAGTCTTTTCTTCATAGCTTGTTTGAATTACTTGATAGTAAAATCATAGAATTTTGAAGGAATTAAAAGATAATGCTGAACATATTGTCTTTTTTAAATCCTTTTATCACAGATTAGAACATGTATATGTTGCTGTCATATATTCAAGAATTTTGATGTACATTAATGTAGCCTACATGTTTGTGAAAGATGGATACAAAAATATAGATCTTGAATGTATTTGTATTGATTAAAGACATCTTATTAACACCACCAGATATAAGAAATTAAAACCCTAAAGGTTTGTGTGACCTTTTCCACAATTCAAAAGATTAAAGCAAAATCAACAAAATTGCATGGGTGTAAAAGTGATAAAAATCTTAAATGGGTGAGAGTGTGAAATACTCAAAAAGGCTATGATCCTTCCTTAAAAGTTATGATTTAGTTTTTAGGAGATCAAAATTCCCAAGCTGGCTCCATAACATGTACAGTGTAATAGTGTATGCTGTAATCCTTTACCATCATATGACATTTAAATAGAATATCAAAAAAACCTCACATGAAGATCTGTACATGTGGTAAGATTCTTACCTGCAGCATCTATGAATTGTAAAAGCCAGCTTCTGGTGCATCTACTACCATATAATTTCATTAGACTCATTCCAGGAACTAGTACACTATTATGATTTAAATATTTAGCATTCTGCCTATGTTGGGGACATCAACTGGCAAAATACCAAAGTTGACAATACCAGGGGTCTGGCTTGAAGACTAATTACATCAAATTCAGTACAAACAAGTAAATTCCTAGAAGGGACTCAGTTGGAATGTTCATATATCCCTGTATACAACAAGTTTCCTAACACAGTATATATTCTCCTTTTGGTCATTTCTTTTTTCACACCTTGCATTGGTTTTATATGGGGTTGTCCCGTACGTCACACACTTGTCCCGTACGTCACATTTCTTAATTTGATTATGTAATCAACACAGAATTTTTGTAATTTTTGTTAAATCTATTTTTTGTTAGGTATTCATCTAAATTAGAACTTCCTAGAATATCTTTAAAAAAAAAATTATTTTCATAATTAAAATTAAACAAATTATGATCAAATTGTGACGTACGGGACATCACACTTTGGAACCTACCTCATTTGCATAATTAATTAATTTTGAAAGTTTTTATATTTTTTTCCTATTTTCTAGCACGATGGTCTACAATTCCTGAGATATTTAATTTTAAACAAATAATTCAAACGAGATACAAAAATAAAATTGTAATGTCCCGTACGTCACGCTAATTAATAAAAATCGAAGGTCGTGACCTTGGCACTCTTCGTATTTTGATAATTTTTAATTTTTTTTATCAGATTCATAAAATTCATAGTTTCAGCTTTAAAATGAGGTATAGTTTATTAAATATATATAAAGATGAAATTTGACCCCCAGAGGGGACAATAGCTTGGACCTGCCCTATGGGCAAAGTATGACTAGAATATTCCTTCTAACTCTATTAGCCCTGACAGGCTACGGAACCTTCTAAACATACACGTGAGGTGACAACTTACGGCAAATATTAAATAATCCAATTTCGATGGAAATTGGGTTTAATAACCAATAAGGAAAGGGGTCATAGAGTTCCTAATGAGAAATTACGCAAGCTTATCACTAAATGCATCGATATGAACAGCCAAGTCTCTGTGACTGTGGTTTCAGAGTTTTGTCAGTGATACAATAAATGCTCCAGCAAAAGTTTCTCCATGCTTTACACAGTCGAAGATACATGTTAAGGGTTAGGCCTAAAGTCATGATTGGGTTTGATGTTAGGTTTAGGGTTTAGTTTAGCTCTGGGTCCAGGGTTAATGGTGGGGATTCAGACAGTGCTGTGGTAGTTATGGGTGGTTTAATCACGTAACTGGGGAGTGTTTCACAAATCCTAAGATCGACTTTAAGTTAGACTTAAATATGACAGGCCATTCGTGCCACTGGTTGCTCTCACCATTGGTCTCTCAATTATTATCTTTAGATAACAAATAAGATGAATTAAATAGATGTGTGACCATGATTTGTACGTCCCTTGAAAGACCATTGCCGGTAAATGGTGAGAGCAAACACTGGCATGAATGGCCTGCCATAGTTAAGTCCAACTTAAGTCGATCTTAGTCTTTGTGAAAGACTCCCCTGGTAATGTCAAGGTTGAGGGTTCGAGCCCCAGCGTAGCACTTAGTGTATGTCTTTAGGAAAGGCATTTCATCTACACTGTTTGTCTCCACCCGGGTGTTGAATAGGTACCTGATAGGATGCGAGCGTCACTGTGAGGGGATGTATGTGAGCTCCTGTACAAAGACTACTGGCTAGAATGCTTCCTAGGGGAGTGGATAGTGTGCACTGTATTTCATATTTGTAACTGGATCCAATGATTGAGGTATTAATAATACTGTGAGTGCTTTGGTCAATTAATGAAAGCTAGACACTTTATAAAAACAGCCATTGTTATTACAGTCGAACCTGCTTTAGTGACTGCCTGTCTACAAAGACCACATTTTTTGTTTCCCTTGAAAATGGTTTCTCATTGAAACATGTACTAAAGGAACCTGTCTACAAAGACCACTTTTTGTTTTTCCCTTGGGTGGTCACTATAGACAGGTTTGACTGTACTAGTGTAGGGAATTTACCAGCGAGCAATTTGTCCTTGGAGCACATGTTCTAGAATCCTTCTCTTACCTCTTGTTGTTGAGACCTCTGCTGGGAGAGCGAAGACTCCTTGTCCTGCTGAAGCTGGGTCTGGAGCCGATTGATGCGGCCCTCGTAGTCCCTCCGTTTCTCATCCTGGACCTGAAAGATGGTCTGCTCGTTGACCTCCATCGTGTCCCTCATCGTCACCAGCTGGTGCTTCATGTCCTGGGAGGATAATGATAATAACAATAATACTCAGTTTTTATATAGCGCTTATTACAATCACTAAGTGCTTCCAAACTTGGAGATTATTACCCCGCCTTTAGCTGTGCTGCTATTACGGCGCTCTAGCACTTCAAGGAATTAATTCCTGCCAGGTACCCATTTACATCACCTGGGTTTGAGTGTGGCAAATGAAGATCTATGCCTTGCCAAAGGACGTTAGTGCTTTATCGGGGATCGAACTACGACCTTTGAATTCAAGTGAAGTCGAACACGACACTTTTATGTACAGATTGAAGGAGAAGAAAGAGGGGATGATAGAGGGGAGGATAGAGGGGTAGAGAAACAAAACAAACACAAAATAAGTATACAGACAGGAAAGAAGAAGAGTAAGAGAGAGGGAGAGGGGGAGAGAGAAAGCAGAAAAACAGAAAGGGCAAAGATAAAGAAGGATACAAAAGAGGAAAAGAAAGAAAAGGTGGGACAGAGAGGGAATATATAATAGATACATGGCAGAATGACAGAAAAACAGCCAGACACAGAGAAAAGGACAGCTTATGTGAAGGAGAATGCAGAGAAGAGAAAAGAAAGATTATCAGGTAAAGGAAGGATGGTAGATAAAGATGAGGCACAAAGAAATGAAAGAGGGGAAACAAGGGAGAAAATGTTTACAAAGACAGAAAGCGGGAGAGAAGTGGAATAGAAACAAAACAAAATATAAATACATTAATCACAAATAAAATTAAAATACCTCTTTGCTGATCACAAAACCAAGTTGCAGCCTACAACTAAGTACCAAAGACCAAACAGTGCATCAAAAATGCTATGACACTCCCCTCTTTTACTTTGCACAAGGTATGAAACAACTGCACTACCACCCGCACTACCACCCGAGCTACAAATAGGCAAAACATTAGAGAGGATATAGGTCTGCAGTGCTTCGCGAGTCAGAGAGACAGAGAGCCAAACTCGGTGGGGTCTTGTAGGGAAGGAACAGCAGAGTTACTTGAGGTGATAATGCTGACAGCTGCCAGCAGCAATGTGGCAAGCATTAATTATGATCATGATGATGATACAAAATGTCACCATGGGGCGTTGATAAATGAAAAATGCTATGATCATTAACCTCCAGATTGATACTTAGCGACCCCACTTTCTGACATTTAAAAATTATCACTTGAGGTCTTATCATCGCTATCCAAAAGTATAGTTTAATCAGGCTATAACTATTTTTTTTACTAGGAATCCAGATTTCAAATTCTAAGGTCTAGATCAGTACCAGTATGCATTGCCACATATTCAAATTTTGGTTGTTGGTTGTTGTTTTTTTCGTTTTTTTTGGGGGGGGGGAGGTCTTCAATAACAATTTTGAGGCCCATGTGGTCATGTAATTTATGAGAGTATTTATTTTATTGTTAATGCCAGTGAATAGACATGTATACATTATTGATCTTCAAAATTAATTTGCAATTTTTGCTGAAAGATTTGAGCATCCAACAGTAAAATCTGATTTGTGATGTACAATGTATTCTCTTTTTATTACATATTTGAGGCACTTCTCTTTCTTTCAACGCATTTCCTGCTTTTAAGAATGCAATTTTTGATGCTGCATGACACATTTAGAGTAAAGGATAACAGTGAATATTCACATTTTGAACTACAATTCATAGCACAATTTTTTTAATTTTTTTGTTGTATATTCTTGTATGGCCTTGCAACAACAAAATAGAATTTCAAAAATAAAATGATAGAAAATTGATAGAAAATTGATGCAAAGACATTGCAAAATTTTGTAAGCAATACACAGCACAACAAAACAATTAAAAAACCACAGAAAAAAAGGTGCTCCTAAGGCATAAATCATAAATTTTCAAAATGCACCAAACAGCAGAAACCATTCCAAGACAAATGTGCAAAAAATCCAATAATCGCTGTACCCCATGTGCGAGAGAGAAAATGAAAAAAAAAAAAAAAATTGGCAAACAATAGTTGTGCAGAAATGGAAGCAACACAAATAAAATCTTCATATTTTTGTATACGAGCAAGTGTGTTGTGTTTCAGTTTGGACAAACTATGTCCTGTATCTTCCTTTGCTCATTGCTATGCTATTGTACATATTTTCCAAGAACTGTTCAGCAGTTTTTAATTGTTTGTTTATTTATTGGCAATCATGAACATTTGGTAGAATTACGATTTGATTTTGTCATTAAAAGAATACCGTTACTAATTTCCAATAAAATGGAAGATTCAATTGAACATTCCAATTTTACAAGTACTTGATAGTTGATCAAAAACTGTTTGAATATGAACATGGTAAATAGACCAGTTTCTTGTTACCTCAAGGGAAAATGGCACCAAACATGCACAAACCTTTTACACACAAAGATGTCCTACTTAATTTATGCATTTTAACATTTAGAAGAATCACTTACAAATTGATAGAGGTGCTTCATAATACCATAATGTAAACAGAGCATGGTACAATGGCCACAAACCTATGCAAATCTTTTCAAAATAGAGAGGTCCTATTTTGTGCATTTTAACATGTCAGAAGGATCACTAACAGAGTGATGGAGGTGCTTCATAATATCAGTCACCCCACCAAAACCAACTCAAAACTGACTCCAAACAGACAAATTCTTGGCCATTGCAGCTAGTTTGTTCGGTCTGTAGTCGGCCTGGTGTAGGTCTTGTTGGTGTGACAAAGGTATAAGAGTTATCCTTCCCCTTTTCAAACGCCACCAGTGTTTAAAAGAATTATCATAAAATAACTTAATGAGCACTTAATTTTAGCAACATTTTCCACCGTTGATTTTTCAATCGGGCACAAAAAGAAAAATTTTCTTTGTTCGTGCACAGATTATATTTCTGAACAGGCTTATAATGATGAGCTTGCCATGTAGTAACATAGCAGGTGACCATAGCACCCTTGTGTACATGTACACTGTATGTATGTGATGTGCATGCTCAGAAGCTGTGAAAACAGTCCAAATGATGAAAAATATACAAATTTAATGTGATCGTGAAGCGGTGAATTATTACGGCAAGAGCACAACAAATTGAAATAAAAATCACACAACTAACCTGATCATGCTTGCTCTATAAGGAAATCAACAACAGAAGACACAAAATTCTATTAGTTGAATGATGATTCTATCTCCATTTAAGCAAAGATGAGATACAAGTATTGAAATTATGATGTACCAGTACACAAGCCAAAATAAAATGCACTATTCCAATTATAAAATAAGATAATGGATGTACACTGTATGGCTTTGACTTGTTGTCTACTTCCTGTAGGCTGTTAATTAGGATAATGAATGCTTTTATGTTGAGTGATGCCTGTGAAGTTGTTTCTATGGAAACGTACAGTTAACGTAATGAGTTTTTAATCCTACCTATGAAAAAAATTATCCACAGATATAATTGCACATGTGTTGATGCCAACATAGTTGTTAACAGTTGTTTAATAAGAGCTCCTTTTTTTTAATTGGCAGAGGGCTGAATTTTCGGTTCACTTTAAAGGTAAAGACCAGTATTGGTAACGCCCCAATTTCAAAAAATGAAATGGAAGCTCTCATTACCAATCATGTGAAAGAATATGTTTTGACTAATACATGATGATAAAAAATTTGCCGGGAAACCGCCTACTAATTCATATATTTGGTAAATTTATTTCTCTCATGGTCGTGTGAGAGAGATAGGGTAGTCCCATATACATCTTTCTGTGTATAGTGCTTGTAACTTTACGAAGAATGGGCCAAATTTCTTATCATTTTGATGATTCCAGAACCTTGCAGATGCTAGATGCTAGATGATCAACCTTTTCTGATCGATTCCACAACGTTTCTTTCACAATGCAATCGCATGACCATTACTGGTCTTTACCTTTAATGATCGAAGTACATGATTGGATTATCAAAAATTCTTTGACAACGGGGATGAAACCTAACAATAAGAACTGATTATCACACTGGCTATGTTTCTTTCATGCTTTCTGTCTTTTTTTTTTCTCGCTGAAAATTGACGTAAACAAATTATACTACCGTAAGAGATTGAGTCACAAAAATATTTATCAAATTCACCTTTTCATCCTGGACTGGTAACATGGTTGAAATCTTGTAGATAATACAAAGAATATAGTTTCCAAAGGAAGTGAGGGTAGAGGCTACTAATGCTTGCTGACTGTAAATTTGCTTTCCTCAAGTGTCAACAAAAAATGAATCTTTAATTGTCTTTGGTTGCAAATGTCTTGGGCCTCTGTTTCCTGCCCGTCTTAGTTGAAGATCTTTCACGAAAGGCCATTGGAGACATTCAGCATGTCCTCTGTGAGTCTATACAAGTCTATTAGTCATACCGTTATAAATAATCGACTGACTTACCGACTCTCGAATCAGATGAGCACGGATCATTTGATTGTTCCAAGGATTGCATAATGGCGTTTGAAGGTCTGATGTATTTATAATGGTGATTTGTATCGAGTGGGATATAAGGTTTCAGTGAGAGGTATTATTGTTCAAGGGCTATCTGCAGTGAACACATGGTCTAACATCGGTTCAGAGAAGTGAAAAGTGATGATTGACTGATGGTATGACTGTTAAAAAAGTAAATGTAAGGATATTTCTAAGAAAAGTGTGGATTTAATTGCCCTTTTTATACCTAATACTTCCAAGGGTTAATATTATATTGTATGGTTCTTAAAAAAGGAAAAGGGAATGCCAGTTCTTAATGTTTCCAAACTTTTTAGGCATGACTTAATAATAACAGGGGACAAGTGCATAAAGCCCTCAAATTTCTATATTTAAACTTGAACACAGACCTTAAAATATCAATCCAGACCCCTGTGATAAGGTTAATGTTGAGTTATGTTCTTGCATTCAATTAAAATCTGTTTGAGACTTGACAGTAGATTGGGGAGTTGATGAAGAAATAAGTAAATATGTCTTGAAGTGATGATGATAGTGTGACTGCATTAAGAATTTCTGCAATAATGTACAGTTTATGATACAAGCCAAAAGTTCTTCTACAAAATAATGAGTCTTTGTAAAGATATTGTGGGCATTGTCTACATGGTTAAAACTTTACCTGCACTTTATTTCTCAGGATCCTGTTCTCTTCTGCTAGATCAGATTCCTCAGGTACAGACGAAACCGAGACTGGAGCGTAGACATGTTCCTCCCCGTTGGTTCTCGGAGATGCCAGGTGAGGATGGGGGCTGTGCTGCTTGGTATCCTGCCCATGCGTGGCCTGTAGAGGGCGCTGTCCATCACCCGGGTACATGGAATGACTATGACTGCGGTGGCGTCCTGCGTTGCCGATCTTCCCGGGGACGACCGTCCCGCCGTGGTGGATGTTCGCCCAGCCACCGCGGTTGAGAAAGTTCAGAGATTGTGCCTGCTGGAGTTTCTGGTGCAGGGCGGAGCGCTGGGCGGCGTCCCCCTTGTGTGGGAGCGTCGACTGGTGGTGGTGGTGGCCGTTGGTGGTACCATGGTTGTTGTGGTGCACATTCATGCGGTACGGCTGCTGCATCGGCGTGATGTCCTGAAGAGACATGGTCTTGGTGGGCGGTTTCCCGAAGTGTTTCCCGGCCGAGAATCCATGATTGTTGTTGGTCATCAGGATATCAGGGGGATGGGAGTATGTTGCCATGGTGTCCGATAGAGAAGGAGACTGGGAGGAGCTCTGCTTGTATGTCTCCGTGGGAGACGTGTTTGGAGATGCAAACCTGACAGCAATGGGTCTGATCAGCTTCTTTTCTTTTGTCTGAATTGGGAGAAATAAGAATTGAAATAATAAATGGAAGTGCTATATTGAAGCTCCATTGTACTACTTGTAGCTACTTGCTCCCTCTATACAGAAAACAATGCCTAAGCGGTGCCCCTTGGTCAGCCATGATCCACTTTTTCCTTTGTTAATTGTGAGCTGAGTTGATGAGATAACCACCTGTCAGTGACCACGCTGGGTGGTCTTATCTCTCCAGGCCAAACTAGTACAGACGGGCTTTAAAAGTCTGGAAAGAAATCTTACATGTGTTTGTTGGTTAACTTGTTTTATTATCTTACTGACTATTGTACATTTTTGACAGATAAAGTGCATGTCATATTAAATTTGTGATTCATATCTTTCAATACCGAAAGCTTCATGTCTTTGCATCTGCATGAAGTGGGATACAGTATTGTATGAAGGAAAGCAATTCACAAAGATTTAGCAAATGTGAGTTCTCATTAGGCATTTCCTCATCAGCTCGAGATTGCCAAATAGCCCGCTATTTCTGATTTGGGGAATAATCCCGCAGTTACAAATCGCGTCTTCATCAGCTCAAAACTCGACCTCAAAACTTGAAACTCAAGCTCGAGAAATTAGCTCGAGATATTTTGCTCAGCGTTCGCGCATAGTGCGAAATCTTCGGGCTGGTGCAGACGCAACGGACAAAAAGCGGGATATTTGGCAAACTAGCCCAAGATATCTTGGGCTATCTAGACCAAATATCCCGCTAATTGCAATCTCGAGCTGATGAAGACAGGCCTATGTACTTTGAAAGGAGAGGCACATAGGTGCAAGCATGATACAATGTCCTTGCGACTTGACCACATTAAAAGTACACAGCTGTGCATACTAACCTTAAATAGGTCATACCGCCCTTTACTGACTTAACATCTCCTGATACATATAGTTCAATCCATTGCATTTTGACGAATGTAATGTCAAGGAACTTAAAGATCTACATCGACAAGGAAAACAGGATTTGATCTACTTGTATGTATTGATAAGGCAATATATATATACACATATAATAATTTTAATTATTATTTTTGGTTTTTGTTGATGACTCAAACACTAAGATTTTCTTTTTCAAAGAAGCATTATTGATGCTTTATTTGTAACATAGCGTACAAGTTAAAGAGAAACATTTACAATAGAATACAACAAAAACAGAAATGTCATATGAATGCGGAGACAGCTAGGAAAGCCAAAGGCTTTTGATATTGATTGTAATATTGAGGGTACTTCACATTATTGTTTCTACATTTAAGAAATGTGTTTACTACAATTCATACGTTGAGAGGCATAAGGGCGTTAGCTCTGTATTAAAGTATATGAGCCATCGCCCTTCTAGCTTTCAACAGATGAACCATATCCTGAGGATAAATCTCCAAACAATATCAGCTGTGTGAGAACACAACTGCACAGCTGTCTGTCAATCACAGCTAGGTCTTTCACCTTTTCCAGCTTTCCACTAATCGGGGTGAGCTTGGGGGGACCTATCGACTCGGTGTCGTCGTTGGGGGCAGAGGGCTCCTCGAAGACGGAACTGTTGCTGTTGGTGGTGGTGTCGCTGTAGCCACGGTAACCGCTGTCTGCCAGAAGACTGCTGGTGCTGCCCATGGTGCCATTGCAGCTGAGGTAGGTGGTAGGTGATTGGTCGGCCGATGATGGGGGGATGTGGATGAGAGAGGCTTGGTGGAGACCGTACGATGAGGAGGAGGAGGTTGTGACCATCTCACACGCTGCCATACTCAACACTCACCGCAGCCATCGATCAATGGTGTCTCTGAAGAGAAGAAAGAAAAAAAAGGATGATAAGTTTTTTTTATTCATTGTAGGAAAACTTTTTTTTTCATGGGACAGATATGAGTTACATATGATGTATGAAATCAACTATGTAACATTGAATATTTGTGGATTTATGCAGTTCTTTCATTTATCAAGAGGAATAACAAAAGTTTCAAAAAGTTCAACTTGACAAAAAAACTAGAATACTTGTTATACTTCCCTTTAATACAATTGATGATGATGACATAAATATCATACAATAACCTGAGACAAATAGGGACTCTTTAATCTCTAACATCACATTCATTATATGAAATAACAAGAAAAGGATTATTAGATTAACAAATGTCACTAGCTTTATTATGATTTTCTTTGCATCTTTGGAAGACACTGATGGACAAGAGCAATGTTTCTTGTTTAGTCAATAATAATCAAAAAGAGTTTGAAAAACAAGTTTGACCAAGATGGACGTTTCCTGATCATCAAATACTTTCTCACACCTAAATTATTGACAAGCAGGAAAAATATTTGTGTGCGAATTCCTCACAAAGTGACAGTTCTTCAGTATTTTCCAATACATTTTTTTAAAAGCACGCTTTGTTGGCTGAGCACTGTGTACACAGCTAGATGGGCAACCATTGCCAAGCACGGCAGATCATGAAGTCATGTCTGGTAAACAATGAAAGTCGTCAAAGTCAGGAATGTTTGTCAGTGCTTCCCACCTAAAGATCATCCCATCACACATCAACAGGTATATACATGTATTTGCCCTTTGAAAAGATCATTGGAACTTGTATAAATTGACGACCAAGAACATGGATCACAATTCACAGTGGTATTTCTGAGCAATATGGTACAGAAATATCAAATTTTTGAAAGATGACTGGAAGATGCCAGAGTGGTTTCTTCACTTCAAAAGCAAGCGATCAGTATAGCAGATAATTAGGGATTGTTTATGCAACCGGCTACACAATCCCCTGCCCCCAAACCCATCCCTAAATAAAAATGGACAGACAAAGTGAGAGCTGAAAATAAATGAGAAAATCATTTTTTAATAATTTGTTTAAATAATACAATACATCAGTTCTAATGTTAGAATTTTTTAAACATCAGAAATTTAATTAGAATCAAGAATATCATTGACTGAATTAAAAGATGAAAAGTCGAAAATTCAAGCTGTATCCAAATCATGATATAAGCCACCGAAATTGTTGGGATTATTAGATTTGTAGTCATATAGTGGAACCTGTCTTCAGCAACAACTACTAAAAGACTGCCTGTCTTCCAGTATATACCGGTACACAGCTTTTACTGTTTCCCTTGGCCATTTTTTCTCCAGATTTGACAGTACTTAATAAAACAAATTCTAAAAAGAGAGTGAAAAAGACCATGGTATCTGTTAAGTTTATGTACAGTATGAACTGTTTGTTTTGAAACAACCAAGGAACGGAACATGTCATAACATGAATACATTGTATCAAAATTTAAACGTAATAGTGGGTGATACATTATACCCATCATCTATCCAGGGTCCCCCAATCTTTCATACAAAGAGATAATCCCTGTAGTACAAGCCATCCAATTTACAAGCCATCCAATTTACGGAAAGCCTGACCGAAAAGGAACAGTCAGAAAGAAGATGCTAAAAATGTCTCTGTGCAAGCAGACGAGATGGATTAGGGTGCCACAGGGAGGATTTAAAAGGTATCAAAACCTTTGGGGGCACCTCTTATAAAGAAGACCGATTCTTTGTCATGTCACTATGAATGGGCATGTAGTAAAAGGATTGTAGATCCACCTGTTTGAGAATAAGATTTACTATCCATCATGGAATACATAAAAGTACATCTGATCTGAATGTCCATAGCACTGGTTTTGTTTAATGTATGATGATCAATATAACCACTTAAAGATAAAGTTGAGTTCTGGTCATGCGATTGCATTGTGAAAGAAACGGTGTGGAATCGATCAGAAAAGGTTGATCATCTAGCATATACGTATTGGTGTGTACTGTAAGGTTCTGGAATCATCAAAATGATAAGAAATTTGGCTTAGTCTTGATAAAGTTACAAGCACTGTACACATAAAGATGTATGGGACTACACAAACATGTGGCATAAAAATCTGTCCTAATTTTTATGATGTTACATGCCATATTTAGAATATTAAGGCATTTGAAGAGCCATGCTTTTTAGGGAACATTTTTTATCTGAAGTTCTTCCACACTTCCATGATAACAATGATAACGCTCACAAAATTATTTTTCACCTCTTCCCAGAACTCAACCTTCTCTATAAATACTGTACATTGAGCTAGTAGTAGGCTCAATAATTGTAGTATTTGACAGTATGTAGCCTGCCAATATGATTTGTATAATTCAAATTGTAAGATGGAGGGGGGGGGGGGTAGATACAATGCAACAAAAATCAGTATAAAAGGGAATTAGAATTTACATATTGATGGAAGCAAAAACCAATGGCACAGATTACTTTTTCAGGGCATTCTATTAGATAGATTTGCTGATAATGCAAGATACATTTTCTTGCAGTAATGTTTATTTCCTTTCCCCGTTTTTAATTGAGTAAAAGGATTATTGTGTTTTGTAGGCCTAGTTGTTAGTTTAATTATCTATTTCTCTAACCAAAGTATTACCTGAAGGCCTATTTTCAAAACGTGAATGCTCTGAAAAAAATATGACCTCAAATCTTATGTATTCTGTTAAAAAAGATTTCTATTCCCCAAGATCGACGGATGACTGCGAAACCACAATTCTTTCATTGTGGTGTTATCATGGTCCGTTAGTTAGTAATACTGTCATAATGTACACTGTACGTGTCAATAGAGCTGGTAAAACCGCTTAAATGTAATCCCAAAATATTTCTATTTATACCGCAACCAATAATGGATTGGATTTTTTTATCCCCCCTTTGTGGCTCAGGTATACAGTACCTTGGCCAAGCCTTGACGAAAGCTTTTGATCCCATTCAGCCATTTATTTGCCAGACTTGCTGAGCTGTGTTTATTTACCTGTACCTGTGTTTCTGGACATATCAAGGGGATTTCCTTGAATATTGTTCAATCACATGGTATATTGGAATGACTATGATGGCTGCTATCATTTTCATGGAATCATGGCACATGATTAGCTTCAGAGGCTAACATAATTAAATTCCAAATTCATTTGAGGAAAAGAAAATTTGGTCAGGTCTGATTTTTAAAACATGTACGAATGCCAAGATTGCTGTTAAGTGTTAAAACCATTCAAACTGCATATTAATGTCTTTGTAATTTGTATTTAATATTATTCCTCCCATGTTTTAAATTTTGTAACAATTAGCACACATTACAGATACATATATCATTATATACAGACCTGTTCCTTCACAAATAAAACTTAGGTATTTCAACTAGAACTAGTAATTAACCAGGCTCTCAACAAGCACCAATGTTCATTTGATCATTTTCAATTTCATAAGAATCGCTGTAATTTCCTGCATCATATCTGCAACTATGTGGACAAAATTTTAGAATTAATCAAGTCATTTGGTAAAAAATAGGACTGAATCTCGAATAGCTATTTGCTCGAGATCTTTAGAACCACTTCAACTTTCAAGTTGTTGCCAACTTGACACTTATAAAGAGAAAAATGAAATTCCATGATTTTTCCCTCCAAATCTGATTTGGTATCTTGAGCAAATAGAATTTCTTTTTGAGTGTTTGTTGAACAAATAATCACTGCATGTTATTGGTGTAGTCTCCTCAGCTCAGAAGGTATTGTAGTATCAAGTTTGCATTTGTGTATACATTTTTTTTATGTTGCTCAATAGAGCCCTTCTTACATTTGACAATTAAAAAATTGACATTTTCACGCTGGGTGTCTATTTTCTCTTTATATTAAAGAAAATTTTCCTGAACCCCAATAAAGCATTTTACTTTTTACGGCTTTTTTTGCAGAAGAGACACATGAACTGCAATACTGCAATTTTATGATGATAATGACAATTGAGATAATTCATTGCAAAGTATATATGACAATATGTCGAAACAACTAACAAAACATTGACCAAAAATTTACTTATGTAAAATGATGTATAGTTGTTTCACAGAAAAAGAATAATGGTGGGGGCTTTTTGGATGGAGGAGGGGGAGGAGGAGGTCTAATACCAAACTGAGGAAACAAAGTGTTAAGAATAAGACTGCCATCAGGGGCTCAAGCATGTTTGGGTTGTTACTCATCCAGTCTAGGGTCTACAGGAGTACAGTCATTATCAAGGTCTAGGGGTCATCTCAAAACCATTCTTGACCTTGTTTGTATCCAACAAGTACATGTAGATGTCAAAAGCCGGGGCAACAAATTGTGTTGAAGGGCAAGCTAAAAGGCCATGGAAAATTGAATTCTACTTTAGTAGATTTTTTTTAATGAAGAGTGGACAGAGGGGTTTTACTTGATATTTGAAAATTTCCTGCACACAAAAACTGTTTTGTGTCAATTTATAAAATATGTTCATGATGAATTTTCCATGCATTACACAGTCCCATTAAAATGTGTACAATTTTTATTTTTTATATTTTGTTGTTGTTGTGGTGATACTTATATTGTCTAGATCCTCACAGCCTTCTCATTTCAAAATTCATGCCTGGTCAAAAACATGTCAAACAATGGTTAATTGAAAATGAGGTGGGGGGGGGGGGGAGGGCTTGAGCATGTTTGGTTTGTGACTCAATCAGTCTAGGGGTCATCCATCTCTAAAGCATTCTTGACCTTATTTGAATTACACAAGTAGACGTCAAAATCAGGAACAACATGTGTTGAAGAGGCAAGCACTTGTTCAAGCACTTGTTTAGAGTCACTGGCGAAACATAAAAATCTCTTTCTTCTTGTTTTAAAAGAATTGGGAAATAAAATTGGTGACTTGCCTCCCTTAGAAATGTGTGAAAAAAGTTGCCCCAATTGGCATATATTCAGGCCATTTTTGTAATGGGTTTTATTGTCAGTGT